AAGAGAGCGAAAGAAAGAAAAAGAAAAAAACATTAAAATTAAAATTTTAAAAAGCTAACTATCTGACATATGTCATTTGTTAAACAAACAAAAAAATCCACTTTGTTCCTATGTATAATTGATTTAGAAATAAGAAATAATTCTAAAAATTACAATACAGCTTTCAAATAATAAAACAATGAAATAGGCTGGCAAGGGTTGGGGGGAAGAAATAGCATCCATTAATTTTTTGAAAGAGGAAATGATTTCTAAAAAAGACATAAAACTAGAGCATTATAAAAAAAGACTTGTTTTCTCACCATTCATTTTAAAATTATTCTAATTGTCAATGAACATGCTTTATTTTTTCTAAAGGTTTATAACTTTTCTATAGTAATATTTTGAGAAAATCTCTCAAGTAGTAGAGCACAACTGTTAATTTCACTGTCAAAAAGTTTAAACAATATTTTCCCTGAGAGAAAACACCTAAAAATTCACTTTTTTTAGAGAAATAGTATAGTGACTTGTTAATTTACTTTTATTAAGAAAACATGAGTGAAAACAAATATAAGTGTTTCAAGGATTCCTCTGGGTAAGTTTTTGAGAAACATAATAATTAAGCATGTACTTGAAAATATATGTTTCGAAAATTGTTAACCTAGTTCAGTGGCTTTTCTCATGAATTTTTTTTGGGAAGTTGACAATGTGGTACATATATGAAATATGCACACTTATGTGTCCTAAAACTTCTACTACTAGTACACTTAAGTTTACTCTTGTTTCCTTTTTTGTTTGTTTAAGATTGATTTATTTATGCTTTTAGAACTGGGGTACAGGCCAGAGGTGCAGGGGCAGTGAGAGGATTCACCAAAGACAAGAGCAGAACAGGCAGATTGATGAAGTACTCTGCTGAGGGGAGCTGTGGTTGAGACAGGAGAGGTCTGCCATGCCATGTGGGTCACCTCTGGGGTTGGAGATCGAACATGTGCTGAAGCAGCCACTACTAGCTTCCTAAGCTGTGCTTTAACCCTTTGGTCCACCGGAGAGGCCCTCTTCAACAAAATTTCTCAAAAATTAGGTGTGTTGTCTTCACTTTGGCCCCTATGCCAGATAATCCCACCAATCATTTTAAACAACTTGCTGTTGACTTTCATTTTACAATCCCATTCTGATTTTCCCTTGGGTACCTTCATTTTCTTTTAGTGAAATGTTTGCTGCTTCCCTTCATTTTCCTTTTTCCTACTTGTTCTTAACAATTTATTCTTCTAGAAATTCTCCACATTGAATAATATTTTGGCAGCCGTCCAAACATAGTACCATAGTAAATAATCTGCATATTAGTTAATGGTACATGATTTTATATTCTGTTCACGAATTTGAACACATAGACTTATTGGTTAGAATTTTTCATAATTTGCAATTTATGGGAATTTAGAAACTTAGATGTCGTTCATAAAGTTCAGGTTGTTTCTTTCTCCCCCACACATTTAGAGCTTCCTCCTTAATCATGCCTGTGTGTAATTTTAACGTTTTACTTTACCAGAGTAGTAAGGTTGAAAACAAATTTTGTGTAATTCATCAATACATCTAATCGAGGAGCTATGTTTAATGTTGAACATAAGTGTATTGTTGTTTCTTTAATTTTTTTTTTTTTTATCTTTCACCTCAAGTTCTCCTAGTCCTTGATTTACTCTGAATAAAGTAACTTGGAGAGAAGTTACTACCACAGGTCATTAGTATTTGTGAAAGTCTAGAGCCTATGTTATGTAAGACATCCTGGAGCTGGTGAAGCAGATCATAAAGGAGGAAGAGGAAGATACCAGGAACACTGGGCAGTACTTTGGAAACTGGTGAACTTATGAAGAGAATCAGCTATTTTTGGTTTGATATATAAAAGTGCACTCTCCCCCACTGTTTATCAGACTTAAATTCCAGATTTTCTATTTAAAGGTGGCTCTCCAAATGTGGTTGTCATTTCAGTAGTGTCTAGGGAATTAAACTTGCATTTTCTTAAAGGTTAAATATAAATATTTTTATTATAAGAATAGCCTGCAGAGTAGAATGTTTTCTATTGCTTCGTTACTTTTTTTTTTTTTTTTTTTT